TATTAAAAAAAAAAAGAACAAAGAATGAAATAAACCTATTCAGTCTACTAAATCTCGAGTTGAAAAGGAGGATAATAAAAGTACTGAAGGGATTAAGAGAAGCTATCAATAGAAATGCAGATCACTGTAAAAAAATCTAGAAACCAGAAACAGGATCCAATTAAAAAACTTAGTTGATGAGACAAAAGCCAAGCTAAAGGCAATAAATAACCAACAAAATAATGAAAATGAATAAATAAGTGATCTGGGAGAGAGAAAAATGAAAACCACCCAATCAAAACAGCAGAAGGAAAGACAGAAAATGAAAGCATGCTATGAAACTGATGAGACAATATAAAGCACACCAATTTATGCAGATGGGGATCCCAGAAGTAGCAGAAAGGGAAAAGAGAATAAAAAATGTGTTTGAAGAACTTATAGCTGAAAATGTCCCAAACCTAAAAAGAAATATCTAGGTATAGGAAAGACAAGGAGACCTATACAAAGACATATTATAGTTAAAATGGTAAAAGTTAAAGAGTGGATTCTAAAGGCAGCAAGAGAAAAACAAAAAGTTAATTATAAGGGAACCCCAGAAAGGCTATTCCAGCTGATTTCTCTACAGAAACAGTGCATGCCAGAAGGGAGTGGCAAGGTATACTCAAAGTTCTGAGAGGGAAAAACCTGCAGCCTAGGATACTCTACCAGCAAGATTATCATTTAGAAGGGAAAAATTATTGATAAAAGAACACTAAACCTATTACAAAAGAAATATCACAAGGTCATCTTTAAATAGAAAAGAAGCAAGAATCTATAGGAAAGAGAAAATCATAACTGGAAAGTAAATCACTTAAATAAGTCACTACACATACATGTACACCCATGGCTGATTCATGTCAATGTATGACAAAAACCACTACAATATTGTAAAGTAGATAGCCCCCAACTAAAATAAATAAATTAAAATAATAATAATAAAAAAGAAAGAAACTTGACCAAGAAGGTGAAATATCTATATACTAAGAACTATAAAACACTGATAAAGGAAACTGAAGATGATTCAAAGAAATGGAAAGGTATTCCATGCTCTTTGATTGGAAGAATTAATAGTTAAAATGGCCAGAATATCCAAAGAAATCTACAGATTTATTGTGATCCTTATCAAATTACCTATGATATTTTTCATAGAATAGAACAAAAAATCCTAAAATTCATCTGGAATCATAAAAGGCCCAGAATTACCAGGGCACACCTGAGGAAAAAGCAGGAGGCATAATCCTCCCAGACTTTAGATAATACTATAAAGCTACAGTAATCAAAACAACATGGTATTGGCACAAAAAAGACATGTGAATCAAATGGAACAGAATAGAAAGTCCAAAAATAAACCCACACACTTATGATCAATTAATCTTTGACAAATGAGGCAAGAATATAAAATGGGAAAAAGTTTCTTTGGCAAGCGTTGTTGAGAAAGCTGGACATTGTCATGTACCTCAAGTTAGAACACTCCCTCACACTACACACAAAAATAAACTCAAAATGGTGTAAAGTCGTAAATATAAGATACAACAACACTTCTAGAAAGAAAACACAGGCAAAACATTCTCTGAAGTAAACTGTACAACTATTGTCTTAGGTGAGCTCCCAAAGCAATAGAAATGAAAGCAAAAATAAACAACTGGTACATAATCAAACCTATAAGCTTTGCACAGCAAAGGAAACCATTAAAAAATGCAAAAATACCCTAAGGATTGGTAGAACATATTTGCAAATGATATAATCAACAAGAGCTTAATTTCCAAAGTATACAAATAGGTCATAGCACTCAATAACAAAAAAGCAACACAGTCAAAATATGGGTAGAAGACCTGAATAGACATTTCTCCAAAGAAGACATACAGATGGCCAATGGGCACATGAGCAGATGCTCATCACTGCTATTTATTAGAGAAATGCAAGTCAAAACTACAATGAGGTACTACCTCATACCAGCCAGAATCAGTTCATTTCAGTCACTTAGTCATGTCCAACTCTCTAAGACCTCATGGACTGCAGCATGCCAGAATGGCCGTCATTAGAAAGTCTATAAATAACAAATGCTGGAGAGTATGGAGAAAAGAGAACCCTCCTACACTGTTGGTGGCCATGTAAATTGGTACAGCCAAAATGGAAAACAGTATGAAGTTTCCTTAAAAAATTAAAAATAGAGGTGCCATCTGATTCAGCAATCTCACTCCTGGGCATATATTTTAACAAAACTATAATTCTAAAAGATTCATGCACCCCAATGTTCATAGCAGCACTATTTACAATAGCCAAGACATGGAAGCAACATAAATGTCCATCAGCAGATGAATGGATAAAGAAGATGTATACTCAGCCACAAGAAGGTGAAACTTTCATTTGCAGCAACATGTATGGACCTACAGATCATCATACTAAGCCAGACAAAGAAAGACAAATATCATATGATATCACTTATATGTGAAATCTAAAACATGATATAAATGCACTTATTTAAGAAATAGAAACAGACTCACAGACATGGAAAACAAATTTATGGTTACCAAAAGGGAAAGGGGGAAGCAAATGGATAAATTAGGGGTTTGGGATTAGAAGACAGAAACTACTATATATTAAATAAACAACAAAATCCTACTGTACAGCATAGGTAAATATATTCACTATCTTGTAATAAACCATAATGGAAAAGAATCTGAGAAAGAATAAATATACATACATATATGTATATATATGTATAAGAGAAAGAAATGGCAACCCATTCTAGTAATCTTGCCTGGGAAATCCCATGAATAGAGGAGCCTGATAGGCTACAGTCCATGGGTTACAAAAGGTTGCACACGACTTAATGACTAAACAACAAACAACTATATATATATATCACTTTACTGTATACCAGACACTAACACAATATTGTAATAAATCAACTTTACTTCAATAAAAATGATACTAACTTTAAGATTCTTAGGTAAAACTAGTATGATAATAAAAGATAGGGTAGCTGTCAAAAGAATGAATAAGTAGAGAGAAAAAGGGAAAAAAGTGTGGGAAGTAAAAGGAAGATACAAAAGATGTTGGAAAAAGAGAAATCAATCTGAATGTACCAATAATTACTATAATTACTATTGATTAAACTCTTAAAAATTATCAAAGTACTTACAAAGACATACCTACACAAGAATAAATACTGTTAGGTGAAAGAAGCAAATCATTGAAAGTGAAAGTTGCTCAGTCATGTCCGACTCTTTGTGAACCCATGAACTATAGCCCACCAGGTTCCTCTGTCCATGGAATTCCCCAGGCAAGAATACTGGAGTGGGTTGCCATTCCCTTCTTCAGGGGATCTTCCTGACCCAGGGATCGAACTCAGGGATCAAATCTCCTGCTATGCAGCCACATTCTTTATAGTCTGAGCGACTATGGAAGCCCCCCACTCACATAAAGTTCAAAAACTGCTGAGGCAGAACTCAGCAATCTTATTTAGGGGTAACAAGTAAGTGACAAGCTATAAATAAAAGCAAGAGGATGAGTATTGTACAATTCAGAATAGAAGTTACATCTGGGGAGGGGAGAAGTTCCATTGATGGGGGCTACATGTGGAGCTTCCAAGGTTCTAAAAATGCTCTATTTCTTAAGCAGAGCACACAGCTGGCTTATTTTCTTTTTATACACGATATACAATTCTGTAGCTATGATATATGGTATCAGTTCAGTTCAGTTCAGTCGCTCAGTCGTGTCCGACTCTGCGACCCCATGAACAGCAGCACGCCAGGCCTCTCTGTCCATCACCAACTCCCAGAGTCTACCCAAACCCATGTCCATCGAGTNTAGCCTTGACTAGATGGACCTTTGTTGGCAAAGTAATGTCTCTGCTTTTAAATATGCTATCCAGGTTGGTCATAACTTTCCTTCCAAGGAGTAAGCATCTTTTAATTTCATGGCTGCAAACACCATCTGCAGTGATTTTGGAGCCCCCCTAAATAAAGTCTGACACTATTTCCACTGTTTCCCCCCATCTATTTCCCATGAAGTGGTGGGACTAGATGCCATAGTTAAAAACTGAGAGAGGTCACTAGTCCTTTAGGAAGAATGAGACAAAAGTAGTCTTGCGGCCAAAAGTACAGAAGCAAAAAGAACTCAGTGCTCAGAGATCCTGATAGCATAGCCCAGACAACCAGGTCAGGAAGCAGAGTTTCTCAGTGAAAGTGCTGACACACGAAGGGCTATCTCATGTGGAATACTGCTTCCACCATAACCTCAGGCTGCCCTTGCTTTCTGGGACAAACTCATGACCTCTAATCAGGTGAACTAGCTGTTGATTGCCCTCAGCTGCTCTCAGGTGAGGTAAAGGAAGTGCTTGCTAGTTGCTGTTCTGGAGCATCTGTCCATTGGCCTCATCCTGTACTGAAGAACCTGTTATAATGGCAGCTCCCCAGTGGAGGTGGAAGGAACAGGCTGCATCTGCCTTTGTGGACAGTCGAGCTCTTCCCCTCCTTACAACACGCTAAAATAATGTAGGGAATTTTCATTTTTACAGTTTTGTAGAGGGAAACAGATCATAAGATCAGATAGTCAAATGTTCTCTTCTTGACTGCTTTACCAATTTTTTCATTTAAGTGGGATTCTTCACCTTGATGTCAGTATCCCACCTTTTTCCAAAGAGAGTTTTCTCAAACATTCATTGGGCTAAACACTGTTTCTCAAATTCAAGCATGCATCATGGTCATAATTAAGAAACAGACTATTGAGCTCCACCTCTAGAGTTTCTGATTCAGTAGATCAGGGTTGGGTTTGAAACTTTCTAGGAAGCTTGCAGACGATGTGCATTCTGATGCTGCTGGTATGTGGATAACACTTTGAGAACCACTATATAACTTTTTTTATATATTTATGTTGACCTCCGATATCTTTTTTTACTCTCCAGGTGTTTCCAAATATCCCTCTTCCCCGCTCTCTGACTAAAACCACACAGAGAATCCCTCCTCTGGGGATCACATTCACTTCCTTAGCAGCCTTTGCAGAGCAGCCTTCACCTCCTGGTTCTTGAGGCTGTAGATGAGAGGGTTCAGTAAGGATGTGATGACACTGTACTGAATGGAGACCACTCGCTCCAACACTGAGCCTGAGGCGGGGCTGATGTACCTGAACAGAGCTGTCACAGAGAACAGGAGCACCACAGTGAGGTGGGAAGAGCAGGTGGAGAAGGCCTTGCCTTGGCCCTCAGAGGAATGGATGTTCAGAACAGCGGAAATGATTCTGGAGTAAGAGAACAGGATCAGAGGAAGTGTCAGAAGTCCCAGAAATGCACTGGACCCTGACAGAAGGAACTCGTTGGCAGTGGGATCAGTACAGGACAGGGGGAAGAGTGCCGGTAGTTCACAGAAGAAATGGGAGACAGTGTTAGAGCCACAGAAATGTAACTCGTGGATGAAAAGATGATTCACTAGTGAGTTCAGAAGCCCCACCAGCCATGCTGCACACACCATGCAGCGCAGAGAGGCCTGTTCATGACCACAGTGTAGAGCAGAGGGTGGCAGACAGCAGCAGAGCGGTCATAGGCCATGGCAGAGAGAAGACTGGCTTCAGCACACCCATAAAGGAGAAAAAGGAAACTCTGGGTGATGCAGCCCCACACTGAGATGCTTTTCTTCTGCGACAAGAAGTTCTGTAGCATTTTGGGCACAGTGACTGAGGAGAAACTGAGATCCAGGAAAGACAGGTGTCCGAGGAAGAAGTACATGGGTGTGTGGAGCCGAGAATCAGCCTTGATGATCAAGATCATCGCTGTGTTCCCCACTAATGTCAGCAGGTAAATCCCCAGGAACAGCACAAAGAGCAGAGCCTGGGTGTGGGGGTCAGCAGACAGCCCGAGGAGGGTGAACTCAGTGAAGAAAGTGAAGTTGTTCATGGTTGTTTGTAAATGTCATTCCTAGAAAGAAATCAACTATTACAGAATCTGAGTAATTTCTAGTGACCAGAATATCATCCCCCCACCCTAAAACTTCTCAGGAAATACTTCTTTCAGCTTAACAATAGAAAAGGAAAAGAAATTGAGTAATTCCAATTGTGACCTTTATGAGTTGAATTGTGTCTAACTCCAGAAAATATGTTGAAGTCTTAATCCCTTGTACCCCACAGTGTAATCTTATTTGAAAATAGGCTCACTGAAGGTGCAATCAATTAAGATGAGATAACACTGGGATAGGGTAGGCTCTTAATCTAATCTGACTGATGTTCTTATTGGAAATGAGAGCCTTATAAAGAATACACGCAACGTGGGGACAGCCATGTGACACAGCGCAGAGTGGAGTGAGATGCCTGCAAGTCAAGGAAGCCAAGGGTTGACAGCCGTAACCAGAATCTAGGAAGAGACAAGGAAGGATTCTTCCCTACAAGTTTTGGGATGGGATGGCCGTGGCCCTGCTGACATCTTGATGTCAGTCTTAGAGTCCCTAGAACTGGGAGACTATAAATTCTATTGTTTTAAGCCACCTGGTTTCCAGTAGTTTGTTACAACAGCCCTAAGAAATTATTACAGTGACTTTAAGGGTTTCTCCTCCTTGACTCTCCCCAACAGGTCTCATTAATTCTGTGAGTGAATATAGCACACATCTTTGTGTGCTAAATCAGATTACATAATCTAACTATTAGGACTATACTTATGAGAATAAACAGGCTACTTCAAATGAAATTGCTTCAGAGAATAGATATTTAGCTGCAAGTCTTCTTATATTTAGACGTCCATCTTAAAGCCAAGAACTACAGAACTCACCATCTTATTATAGCCATTCTGGGTATTAGATGAAGATGTAGAAAAGGGATTTGAACAATGCTACTTGAAAAGGGACTTGTATGATGCTACTAGAGGTTGCAAGAGGCTTTCCAAACATTCCAGGAGCAATTCAAGAGTACCCTATATCTCCAAAGACATACCAGCAAACCTGGAAAAGTATCTGTGGGAAGTGTTTGTGCCTGAAGAAAGATTGTTCCATTCTCAGGCCAGTGAGATTAGGCTCTCAGCATCTCAAGAGTGGGGAAGACGGAGGCTCACAGAGGTGAGGTGACTTCTTCTATGTCACATAGCTCATCAGCAGAACGGTCAGGAATTAAACTGCATACCCTGCTCTCAATCCAGTGCTCTTTCTACCACAGCACACCCAGCAGATGGACAACATATATTTTGAGTCACTTAAAGTATCTGTATCTTAAACATAGCACTTTCCCTAAAATTAAAAACAAAAGCTAGACCTGAAAAATCAAAGCTATGTATGCGAACTTGAGCATGATAACTTAACCCTTCTGAAGGTAAATTTTCACATCAACAAAATGGAACATGGTTTACATCAACTTAGTCAACCTTGGTTTTAGTCACAGCCTGAAAATCGGATACTTCTTTAGTAGTTAATTTCTTTCCTTTCACTTTGCTGCTATTGTTATTGCCTTTTACTGAGGCAAAAATGTCTAGACCAGGACTTCGTTAACAGTGTTCACATGTTTCACTGGAGCCCTGTTGTTCAGTTGCTGTTCCAGTTATCACTGGGACCTGAACTGGAATGTTATAGCAACCTCCCCAGCAGTCTTTTCAGAAGTAGCCTTTAACACCCGCAGCCTTTCTTTCTCCTCAGTCCATTTTACGCTGGCTCTTATAAAGCTTGGTTCTGATGACATAAACCAAAAAGTTATGTTAGAGGAAATCCAAGAGAAAAGAAACATTTGTGAAAACATTCAACTTAATTTTTTTAAGTACAATAAAAACATGAATCTAATTTTACGATTTTTTCAAAAAAAGTGTACAAATAGTCCTAGGAAGACTGGTGACACTGATATCTATACATTGCTGAAGAAAGTGAAAGTGAAAGTTGCTCAGTCGTGTCTGACTCTTTGTGACCCCATGGACTATACAATTCATGGAATTCTCCAGGCCAGAATACTGGAGTGGGTAGCCTTTCCCTTCTCCAGGGGATCTTCCCAACCCAGGAATTGAACCCACTTCTCCCACATTGCAGGCAAATTCTTTACCAGCTGAGCCACAAGGGAAGCCCACTGCTGAATGCATTGCTGAACGCATTGCAAATTGCTGAATGCATTGCAAATTGCACACTTTGAGTTAGAGTCTTATAAGTCCTTGGATTTATGCTAAAACTATAACTCAAAAGGCTGAAATGTGACATTTATAATGATGCACACTGTATTGTTATATGTTCAATAAAAATGGAAATGTTACAATATTTTCATATTCTGAAATGTCTAAATACCAACTAAATAATGTAGACAATAAAATTAAAATCATAAAGACTATGTGGCAACAAAGGAACATATCAATAATAGCTGCAAAATGAAGAAATTTCTCTTTGGTATGATTAGAACTGGTTTTCAAGACTCTTTTTACCATGATCTTCCTCAAACCTCCAGCTTCCTTTTCTCTATAAACACCCCAGTCAAATCCCTCAGTTAACAATAGACTTCCTTCCCTTTCTCTTTTGATGATGCACCCAAACTACGTACTTGCTCCTAAAACATTTCACTTAATTTTAAGAAGATTGATTTATTAAGTACGGAGATAAAGAAGCCCCACCAATCATGAGATCCCTTAGATGAGAGTCATCTTCCACACTTTCCTGTGGGAGGCTCAGAGAGCTCGGTGGGAAGGAAAAGAGTGAGCTGACCAGGATCACTGGGAGGAATTCTGGGGTAAAGAACAATGGAGAAACTAACTGTTCCAAGGAGGAAAAGGGACTTTGATAAAAGAAAATGACTACCGAAAAGACAGAAAGGAAGAAAATAAGAAGGTGCAGGCTATGCCTTTCCAGCCCTAAGCACATGAAGATTCCCCAGTATCCTTTGGGAATATTTGTAGACGCTGGCATTGGCATTTCAGATGAAGAAAACTGTTTTCGTTCCCAGTTCTGACAATCAGAGCAAAAGTGTTAATTAGGGGCAGTTCCACCCCTGTCCTGACACTTTCTAAGAGACTGCACTACCGGTCTGTCCTCCCTGCAGATTTACATAATACGATTCAATACAGCTTCATGATCTCTTGCTAGCCTTGAAACCAGAAGACCTTAGAACTCTTAGTGAAAGTTATACAAGAGGGAATGGGAAGGTCTCCTTCTACATCCAGTACTTCTGCCATGGTGCACATTTGAAGAAATGATCCTCCAGTCCTCCGTCAGGATGCCTCCTACCAGATCCCCCATGTCAAAAGATGACCTGCTTTTTTGTCAGGGTCAAGGGACATGAAGGGAGGAGACAAAGGGATCCCAGATGGACAGAAGTGCACCGTAGATCAACATCCCAGGAAAAGAACCTCGTCTACTTATTTCTCTGGCCATGATATTTTCCTTATGACTATTTCTATTTCTTTTTCATTGCCGTGAGGAATTTGGGTTAGAGTAGGATTCTTCTGAGTTGTTCAAACTGATGAAAGTTTCCTTCTTCACCTCTTTTACTGAGTTGGACTGTTCTAAATCTGGCTCCTGTTTGGGGTTCTTTGAGGCAGATTGCCTACTGCCCCCACAGCTAGGCCCGCAGAATTAGGTCTCCATCTAAACCTTGGGAAAAGTCAGTTTTATTTCCTGACAGTTTCTAGCATCAAACTCCTATGGTCAGTTCTAGCTAAAGCCTAAAGGGCCAGCATTCTCTGCACTGGGACTTTCTGGGCCTTGCTAAGAGTTATTAATTCTTGTCAGTCTTCCTGAGGTCACCTACCTTAGTCCTGAGAAGAGCTCCTGGCTAGTCTGTAGGAGTCTTATAATCTTCCGGTGCTCCTCTCTTTGGCCATCTCTTTGATCTCTTTGCCAAGCTATAGCTCTGGGAGAGGAGCATGAGTAAGGAGCCCAGGGCGTCTGGGACTGCTCACTGCTCATGGGGGAGGCTGCAGCAGTCAGAATCACTTGGGGCCTGATTTGGAAGTGGGGGTGCAGAAAAATTTCCAGCAATAGCACAGGAACAATGCAAAATCTGACAAACAAAGCTCAATCTAGGGTTTCTCAACCTCAGACATATAAATGTGTGCACAGTGAGGCATTCATGTTCATGTGTGTGTGCGCACATGTGTCACCCTCATACTCTCTCTATAAAGTCTAACATTCCCTTTCCCTTTGGAGTTACTCCAAAATCTATGCACTTGAGGTATGCCATATTTTTTCTGCACACGTTTATCATATGGCCCTATGAGAGAAATTAGAACCATAAGGCAGGAACTCTTTAATTTTCTTGAGTTCCCACTTAGAAATGTATTTCTTTGTCCCTTATTTAGATTTAATAGTAGAGATAATGCTTTTAATCCAAGACTAACACCTGTAACTGGACTTTAACTCTGATCTCCTTCTGAGCCTCTGGGCCCTTCTCCTTCAGGTATGCTAATTACCTGTTTTTAAAAATCAGTTTCCTCCTTTTACTCATTTGTACCAAGAATGTAAATATATTAAAATAGTTCCCATATTTAAAAATATTTAATTGACCCCATGTTTCACTGCAGCTACTGATTCTACATTGCCTTACTTTACTTGTCTCACAGCCACTTCTGAAAGTCTGACTTAACTATACTACCTCCTTTCTTACTTTTTATCCCATGACATGCTGGCTTCTGCACCCACCATTTCTTTCCCTTTCTATTTCTAGTGACTTCTAAAGCCAGTATTAATTTTCCTCCTGATACTGTGATGTAAGAAACTCTCACTCCAGTCCTCATATTCTGCATGATTGGACTCTGGACTCTACATAGCTAAGAAAAAGTTGAAAAGAGGGAGTTATTATTCTTCTTGAGCCATCAGGAAAATAGTCCCTATATAAGTATATCTTTGGAAGGAGTCTGGGATTCTTCCTCAACAGGACCAGATCAGGAGGACTGGTGGTTTCTCTTAGTGATAGACTTTACTTCTGCATAGGGTGTAGGACAATAACTAT